ACTAGACAAAATTTCTGACAATTTAAGCCCTTAACGATCTCCGCAAGTCTAATAGTTTCCGAGATACGGCGCTTCAAATATTGGTAAATTTATTAGTTTTACAAGTTTTATCAAAATTTGCGTTTTTTTGCGCAGAAAGTAAACTTACAAAATATGCACGATGAATTGTCGTAAGTCGTGAGTCGTAATAAACTCGTTGAAGAAGTGCTAAAAATTGCGAATAATGAAAGCAAATTAAATATTGATTTTTGTCTTTTAGTGGAAAAATATCCATGTTTATATATGATGCGTTATTCATTCAAACCATAGTATTGTGAGTAAGCTTTCTGCTACTGTCACAGATCTTCTATATTCGGTGTCCCTTTTGAATGGTCGAGCAAGGTCAGGAAAAAGTAAAAAATTCACAGATTTCGCAATCCATGCAACAGGTAGTGGATTTTGTTGAAGAAGAAGAAGATGACAACTTTCTTATCATGGGAGATGATGGGGATCCACAGGATATCAACATTCTAGCTCTTTCTGTGCGGATTTATGGAGACTCCTCACCACAAAGTCCCCCCCAACGAACAAAATTATAAAAATGTTCATGAGGTTTTTATGCGAAAAAAGGCAAATTTGATTAAAACTGAAGAATTTACGAATTTTTGAAACGCTGTATCTCCAAAACTATTAGACTTACAGAGCCGGTTAAGGGCTTGAATTGTCACAAATTTTGTCTAGTTTAAAAAAGTATACGACAGTAATTGCTTTAAAATCTATCCTTCCAGAACTAAAACTAACCAAAACCTAAAAATAATAGAAAAAATGGCGTATTTTTGAGTGCTGCGTTGCTCGCACAGGTCTTTGGATGTCGAAAACTTGGATTTTTGACGTCCATACTCAGCCTAACAATTTAAAAAAAAAATTAGAAATGACACATCTGATGCAAGGTATTATGATAATTTGACTGGACTATTTGATTTTCCTTTATTCCAAGTGCCTATGTATCAAATTTCATTCAAATACTTTTATAAATAAAATAGTTTGCAATTCGGTTTATAAATGGTCGAGATAGGGCACTGTGAATTTTGAATCGATTCGACTCAACTTTTGGCATTGCGTATTATATGGCTAAAGCTATGCCCATATTGAATTTCATGCAATTCAGTTCATAACTAACGGAGATGTCAAAGCGATCGGACATTTCTAAACAAAGTTCTCGTTCACACGGACAGATAGATGGACAGACAGACAAAGGAACAGACGGACAGACCAACAGACAGACGACAGACACCAATACAAAATTATGAACGATCTCTAGGATCGTTAATATACGGCAAAAGTGTAAAATTATGGAACATGTAAAAAACGGTTTGTTGGTTTTTTTGCAATAACTTTTTTTAGCAATCAACGCAGAAAAAATTCCTTCCTTGGTGCAAGCCTCGACACCATAACGAACCAAATAGCGAATAAAGTAGAACAATAGCTCTTAAGATAAAAAACTAGTAGCGTCTCAACGAACGAGCGGACGGACAAAGTAGCCACAATAGCGCATTTTTTTTATTTTTGTGGAAATGCGCTAAAAAGGAGGTTATGGGTTTTAGGTTCACCCCGAACGTTCCTTGCAATAGGCTTTTGCAATGAACATCTCTTCTGGAAATAAAATTTTTACTTTTTTAAATGACTTGACCAACGGCTACCCCATTAGAACAAAATTGGTGGCGTATTTCCTGCAGTGGCGGAGCGTTTAATACTGAAACCAATTTTACCCAAAAAAAACCTTTCACAAACTTGTCGCCTCGGTCGCTAAAACGCGAATTCATATTAATTTTTTTGCCTTGACTAATCCCCCCTATTTGGTGTTAATTAGTACTGCCTCTTTTCACGTGTAATAAGTTAAGTTTCATTGTGCCAATAGAATTCTTTATATTCACGAAAGCGTGTCATAGGTCTATTTTTGCAATTTTTACATATAAATAATTATTGTTTAAGTATAACTGTAATTTTTTTGGAGGACCACTGAAGTTTTTAAATTCTATCGCTATGATTGGTAGCTTCTTAAACGCAAGTTTGGAATGAGCATTGTAGCTTAGTTTTTTCGTTCATTATCTTGCGAGTACGTTGGTTGATGGCAAACTTGTAAGGGGAGTGCATTAATAAATTCCTTGTCGGCTTAGTTGCTATTTCATAAGTATAATCATTTTCTGACGATTTTACCGATTGTTTGTGTGATTATACCGAGTTTCTATACTTTTTCTCTCATTTTGGAGGCTTTAAATTGGATTTATTAAATACGTAAGTGGCCAGCATTTGCAAACTCAATTGCTGTCTCGTGCATTCTTAGGAATTCTTTTCGCAGAGTTTGAACCAAGTCATTCGGGGCTGTAATTTATAATAACCCTCTTATTAATTGGAGATATGTTAATTGTTTGTGTTCGACGGGAAGTTACATATGATTTCAGTAAAAAGTTTTAGGTTCACTAGCTTATTGATATTTGATCGACGTGGACCTGGATACACGTATTTATTTTGGGCTCTTGAAGCAAGCATTATTAAAGATCCTCAGATCCTTTATAGTTTTGTATTGTCGTCCGTCCGTCCGTCCGTCCGTCCGTTCGTCCGTGTGCGCTCTTTTTGAAAGTGGCCGATTGTGTTGAAATTTGGTGTACGGGTACTTTTGACATTAAGGACGGAGGCTATTGCTTTTCAGGAGGCTGGTTCAACAGGAACAAAAGTTATAGGACTTCGAGTGAATCGGGAACAGGAAAAATTGCGTGCTCAATATAATAGAAATCAGAATATTTCATTCCCTAGGTCATGTATCGAGTTCTGACATTCGCTAGATTATTCCCTATGACTTTTAGATGTGTAATAATTCAATATAACTCTTCTTTGTGGTATAGGTCAAAAGTTTTAGAGCAAAATGTACCTAAAATTATTCTTTACACATAAATTTGGAGTTGTAAAAGCTTTCAAACGCATTATCTTGATGCTAAAAGGGTACATCACATGCACATTTGATAACCGCATGTGTGTGATTCAAAGATGTTAAATTATTTTTCTGATGCCACATCGATTTTGATCAAAATACGTCAAAATCGTTATTTATGCACCAAGATCGTTGGGAAAAAGACTAGGGGCATTATCTCAATGCCCAAGACATAAATTTTATCTATTTCTGGTGACCACATGGATTTTGATCAAAATATGTCAAAATCGTTATTTATACACCAAGATCGTTGGAAAAAAAACTAAGAGCATGATCTCAATGACCAATACATGAATTTGATCTATTTTTTCCGACCACTTGGATTTTGATCAAAACATGTCAAAATCGTTATTCTTGCACTGATATCGTTGGGAACAAGATTAAGAGCATTATCTCAATGACCAAGACATGAATTTGATGCACTATAAAATGTATTATGTAAGATTAAAATAAATTGTCGTTAAGCGTGATTGTAATACTGAGGATCCTTCGATAATTCGTTGTCGGTTCATTTTGCATTACCGAGTGGACTACCTCGGGGTTTCTTGTTTCTGGTTTTTGTTTTGTTCTAGGTTGATTTGCTGTTGCGTTGCGAACAAAGGTCTCTTCTTACGTTGGGAATAAAATTTACTTCATTAAATGTAAGATTGTTATTATTTTATTGGGATACCTTGTACTTTAATTTTCCGTGCGATTTTGTTCGTAGTGAGTTTGGGAATGCTGTGATTCGGCGCTACGAACTAACCGCTGTAAAGATCTCATGCCTTTTTATGATCTTATGCTGACTTGCAATTGTAACCCAATAGCACCAATTAAGAACACGGAATATGATATAAATGTCACTCAACTCGAAAGGTTTCTGAAACCCATTAAGAAGCAATGCTCTATTCAAATTGATCAACGCAGCCAAGATAAGTTTCATTTCCATCGTGGTTGCAAAATTAAAGCTACCGTTACATTTTCAAACCGTGTCGCATCTCTACAATCAAAGTGACGTTCGGGTTCGGGCTGTACTCGTTTTAAGCCCCGCACTACTTGCCCAAGTACCTAGGGAAGTTGCGTACTTGAGGACAGCTTTTTGTTTGTAGCATCAGTACTTTCCATGAGATGCATGCTGCATCCATTTTTTCCTTCTTTAATTAGTCACCGTCCGAGTAATAATTAGGACATATGGGCGTGAGCAAGCATTTAATTTTATTTCGGTAGTTGGTCAAGTGGTAGTTTCTTCCAGTTTAGGGTCTGATGAAGTTTTGTCGTCTTCCGTGGACGAGTGGTCCTTAAATACGGTAGTAGATTGGGCGCCACCTATGCGCGACAGTCACGTGTGACGCGCCAGGCGTGAGGTTCAAGCGTGGTCTAAACTCACTGAAGGTCATCATGGTTGTTGTCTGTTTAAAAAAACAGGCATGTTAAAAAAACAGGTCTGTTCATCAGAAACAAGTCTATTTATCAGACACAGACCTGTTTTTATTTAACCGATCTGTTTCTGTAAAACTGATGTTCTGTATATGATGAATAGACCTGTTTGTGATGAACAGGCCTCTTTTTTTAACAGGCCTTTTTTTAAACAAAAAGACCTGTATTTTAGACAACAACCACGATGACCTTCAGTGAGTTTGACCACGCTTGAACCTCGCGTCTGGCGCGTCACGTGAGTGTCTCGCATAGGTGGCCCCCTATCTACTTATAGTCCTGACCTTTAAATGCGTTCGAAAATCTAAGGCGCCGGTTAGTCATGGGTTACGGCGTTATTTTGCAGCAGTGGTTATCGAGACTCCTGCGTCATGTGGAATTTGCAGAATAGGCGGGAAATTACTCTACGTTTAGTTGATTTATAGCCGTTGATCTCATTGGTTGTGTGCAATTCGCTGATTGGTGGAAAAGGTTCGTGTGTCAATAAAAGAAGTCAGGAAATTCACGTTTAGCCATAAGCGAAGTCAAGTCAACCACATGTACATTGCCGTGTGGTGTGTTTTATTGTGTAAAGAGAAAATTCGCATTGAACCGTAAACTAAGGTTAACTACCTGTAAATTAGTGTATGGTGGTTTTATATATTGGTGTCACCCAAATATTTGAGAGAGCTCGTGTGTTACTTTCGGAGAAATTTCGTACTAATAGGGTAGCGAAGTTAAGTGCGTCTAAAACAAATGCGACAAGTTTAAACAAGTGAAGTGAAGTTTTTATGGCCTTCAATTACAAGGCATAATTTGCGACTACTTAGAAACTATTACATTAAATACGAACAATGGCGGATGATTTAAACACGCGAAATCCTAAACACGAACACAATGTTTAATCATGTTTATACATTTTCACATATTTTTTATACGATATTTACATTCACGTAATGTAGAGTAACCGTAAAATTGGAACTGCCAATCAAAGGTGTCATTCATTCTACGAGACCTAGGAATTTGTATCGATTTCTCTCCTCAAGAGTTGGATTGCAGTACTTCGAGTTTGGATGGCAAAGGGGATATCGCTGTTAAACTACTGCCCTATTTTTGTCAGAAATGATGAATATTCTGAGGATACGTACGGGCGAGAATAATTTATTTTCCGGTTGCGAATTTTCCAATGCGAATATGCTGGAGGTGAAATACTTCGATCCGGGGGGGGGGGGGG